CCCCCGCGCCCCGCTGTCGCCCACGGAGGCGCCCTCTGGGTCCACCCTTGCGCCACGGAGGTGCTTGCGCTCTCGGGGACGCCGGCGCCCCCAAATCTCCTGGTCCCTGTGGCTCCCGGGGGGCACGTCGGCACCTGCGCCTGCAGGCCGCCCCAGGGTCCTCGGGGCATGCGCTTAGCTGGTCCGAGGGACAGAGAAGAGGGGTCGCGCAGCTGCCCGGGGAGTCCAGTAGGGAGAAGAGGCCCCGGGAAGGAACCGTCCAGCCTGGGGGTGGGGACAGTCCCGCGCAGCACCTGACCTGGGAGAGTTACCACCGCGGGGCTCACCCCAGAGGCAACTCTGCCTCCCCCAAATCTTGCACATACCCCCAAGCTCGCCCACCCAAGGGGCGCACACGCACCCCTGCACCCCACCGCCACCCCAACCTCACTCCCCCACCCTCTCAGACCCTCTAATTGACTAACGTCTACAATCGCAACCAAGCGTTTCTAGGTAAACGTAATTAAAAAATTGTTCTGGAAAGATTATTGATGTTCAATCGGCTTACTAGCAGCTTAATCTTTCACAATCAGCAACCCAAAGCAAACACCGTGTGCGCGTCTCATTGGCTGCGTGCAACCCAGCTAGTGCGTGCACGCGGACCGAAAGACCTCCCCAGGGGGGAGTACAGGGCCAGCCTCGATCCTCCAACCTTGAAGGCTGTCCCTGGAGAAAAATTCAGTGCTTCGCTCCTGTACGCTCTGGACGCCTCCAGGTTCCGTAGTCCTTGACGACCGGCTAGGTGTGGGGTGGGGAGCTTAGGTGTGGAGTGAGCCGTGGGCCTGCTTTTGGCCCGTGAGGGTCCCAGAGCTGCCCCAACAGGCCCGCGAGTTTGAGCGAGCCACCTCGTCAGCATCTGCCTCACCACACGCAGAAAAACCCCTCAGAAGAATTGCTCCATCCGGAGCCCACATCTCTCCGCCTAGGCTCTGGCTGCAGCAACACGCTGCCCATAAAGAGAAGATTGATCCTGCACTTGGGAGGCTGAAACAAGAGGAAGCCCAGGAGTTCTAGACCAGCCTGGGGAGCATAGCCAGATCTCTTCTCTACAAAAAATAAAAAATTTAGCCTGGCATGGTGCACGCCTGAAGTCCGAACTTACTTGGGAGGCTGAAGCAGAAGGATGCCTGATCCAAGGAGGTCAAGGCTGCAGTGAACCATGATCTTAGCACTGTGCTCCAAGCTGGGTGACAGAGCGAGACTCCAACTCAAAGAAGAAAAAAAAAAAGAACCCACATCTGGAACCTCCTGGGCTCAGGCGATACTATCTCCTCAGCCTCCTGAGTAGCTGTGACTAGAGGCATGCACCACCAAGACCAGCTAAGTTTTTTATTTTTTTGTAGAGATGAGGCCTGACTGTGTTGCCTAGGCTGATCTCAAACTCCTGGGCTCAAGCAATCCTCCTACCTCAGCCTCCCAAATGGCTTGGATTACAGGCGTGACTTACCTCGCCCGGCCTGGCAACAGAGTCATTCATGCCTTTAAGTCTGATCAGATCAGTTCAAGATTCCCATCCTTAAGGTTCTATTTCTCTGGAACCATCTCCAGGACCTACTTCATGTTTGATACTGACACTAATGGTCAGGGTTCCATCAGGGAAGGAGAAACACTAAGAATATTATATAACAAGAGATTTATTATAGGAATATGGCTGTACAGAATGTTGGGGGAAACTGGGGGAATGAGGGTCTGAATGAAGACGCTGGAGGATCAAAGAAAAGCCACGATCAAGCTTTCTGAAGCTGCTGGAGCAGGATTCTAGAGAGAAGTTTATAAATGGTTATTTCTCTGCCTCTGGGGTTAGCATGGGGTTTCTGCTGGCCAGAAGGGCTGGGAGTTGCTGGGTGTGGAGTGGGGGACAATCAGGACAGCCTGGGACCTGCTGACACCTCTAACTATGATACCTTTCAGAAAATCATTGCTGCTGCTGCTGTTGTACTTCTCTGCCCTCCAAACCATTCACAAACTCTACACCAGAACCATGCAGAGAAGAGGATTCTAGTCCCAGCTTGCACAAATTGACATAGTATAAAGCCACCACATGCCACGTATTAGCTGCTTGATATTGCAAACTATTGAAAGTTGGTGATTCTCTTTAAATTTCTTTCTTTTTTTGAGTTGGAGTCTCACTCTGTCGCCCAGACTGGAGTGCAGTGGCCGCTCCCGGGCACCACAGCCTCGACCTGGTGGGCTCCGGCGATCCCTCCGCCTCAGCCTTCCAAGTAGCTGGAACTACAGGCATGTACTATCACGCCCGGCTGATATTTTGATTTATTGTAGAGATGAGGTCTTGCTGCCCAGGCGGGTCTCTACTCACCTCAGCCTCCCAAAGGTGCGGGATTACAAGCTGAGCCACCAAGCCCGGCTTAAATTTCTTTCTATCTTGTCTTGTGGGAGGACATTTTCTGGGTTCCTGGAAGATGCCCTGTTGCCGACAGTCTCGGTCTTACAGGTCCCTTGGTGTGGATAATGCCTCCTCCCACTGGCCCTTTGGACCTCCCTCCCCGATGCACAGCTTCCATAGCTGCGGTCACCTCTCTCTCCCAGAAGTCCCCTTGAGCAGTCCACATCTGGCCCACGGGAAACATGCAAACATCTGTGCTCTGCTGAGCTTTAGGAGGCAGCTCACTCAAGGAAGTCCTCACCCACCAGGACAGCAAGCCAGCCGCAGCCACTTGCCTTCAGATTATCAGTAGGCCTGAGTCCCTTGGTGCCCCACATTCCAGTTGACTCAAGTCAAGCTCTTGAAGTTCTTCTCTGGAATCGCCCTCTCAAGCGGGGTTGCAGTAAGAAAGAATCATGCCTTTGGCTGGGTGGGAGGAGGGTGGGAGAAAGGGACGACTCCCCAGACAGATGATCTCTGGGACCACCTGCCCTTCAGTCTTAACTCTTAGCCTCTCTCACACAGTCTGGAGGTGGGTAACTGCTCCTGGCCACCCTTTTGTAGGTCTAGAATCTTTTTTTTTTTTTTTTTTTGAGTCAGAGTCTCACTCTGTCCCCCAGGCTGGAGTATAGTGCCATGTTCACGGCCACCACAACCTTGACCTGCTGGGCTCAGGAGATCCTTCCAAGTAGCTGGAACTACAGGCACCGTGCCACCACGCCCAGCTAATTTTTTGATTTACTGTAGAGAAAGGTCTCGCCAAGTTGCCCAGGCTGGTCTCCAACCCCTAGGTGCAGGCAATCCTCTCGCCTCCGCCTCCCAAAGTGCTGGGACTATATAGGCTTGAGCCACAACCGGCTAGGTCTAGCATCTTGATTTACAATGTGGGAGTAGAGGTCGGTCATGATGGCTCATGCCTATAATTCCAGCACTTTGGGAATCTGGGCAACAAAGCAAGACCCCGTCTCTAAAAAAATTTTAAAAATTAGGCTGAGCACGGTGGCTCATGCCTATAATCCCAGCACTTTGGGAGGCCGAGGTGAGAGGACTGCCT